GCTATGCATGTTTCGTCTAACTTTGGGGGTATGCAGAACTACAATCCACCCATGAAATTTACTTTACTGCGTTTTATTAGTCTCAATGTACCAATGCCAATCAAAAGAAGTCGACTAGAGAACAGCCAAACAATTCGGGTTAGCTTTGGACAATAAAATTGTCCCCATTAGAAGCAATGGTATCTATGGGTGCTCAGAATATTCCATTTAGAGTAACTTATTAATTATGCCATATTTCAACACTCGAAAGTTTATTGAGAGCAAGTAATATGCCACACTTGAGGAATCGATAATGATACACAAAAGAAGAGGCCATAACCCTACTCCGTAAACGTTATGGCGCTTCCTCTGGAGTGTCTTCTACGCTAGGCGTCCTAGAGTAACTTCCTCAATGGCTCCGGGAAAATTTCCATCCTCCTCCCTTCAAAAAAGAACCAAAAGTCTTCAGTCTGTACATCAGCATTGAATGCTTTATTTATCTTCTCAGAAAGAAGAAGCAGTGTATTGTTTGTGAGATACATCAAAGATGCTGAAAATTGAACTGCAGTTTAGCACTACTCGTCGTTAAGACGAGACTTTTAGTTCCTAAATCCACTGTCCAAGTTAAGACCTTCTTTGATTCGTGGACTCTTCGCCCATTTTGTCATCGGCCTGCATTCTTAATTGTCGTTTCTTGGGCAGTAACTGCTTGCGTCGACACGAGTAATTCCACTCTATTTATGGTCTGACTATGAGGCCGGTTGCTTCGAGTTGTTAAAGAGTTGTAAAACGAATATCTTCTCAAACTCTCAGAACCTGCCTACACTTAGGTTTATGACTACCATTGAATTTAATGCAGAATAGCAACAGCCTTGTTTAGAGCCGACAACCAGTCTGTTTCCATGATCTGGAGAGGACTGCACAGCCAAGATGCTCCCCAACAGAAAACGATCTCGATCGGCGACCAGAGATAAGTGACAGGAGACTATTATGTTCAATCCCAGTTAAGCTACTGCTTTCTGCTAAAATCGACTACCACAATGGCTATATCGACAATGTTAACGACGGAAAAGAAAACTACGACCACGTTGTTAGGGCCATCGAAGGCTGAAACAAAGGCTAAGGTAGACTTGTAAACGACAACTCGACTATGAAGAATACAACATTGCAAACGCTCATGACGACAACATGCACTACTTTGATGCTGTGCATGATGGCTATAAAGATAAAGAAGACGACAAATGCAACTTAAACTATGCCGGTGTCGTAGGCAATTACGACTACGGCTGCAAAAAAACCCAGATTATGTCCGGCAGTCTTCTACCTGCCTGGGATTCTTATTTTATTAGAGAGGATCATATCTTCTGGAGCGAGCTTGCGACACGTTTATGAGTTAGAATAGTTAGCTTGGATATTTTATTAACAGCTTGACTGAACACAAAAATAAATTACCACGACTCGACTGACCATAATCGAGTTAGGCTGATATATTTTACAGAAAAAACATTAAAGTTATGTTAGATTGTTCTAGGTGAAGGAATGATGATAGTCTATTTTCCTGCGATAAGGTGAACACAATCACTTACTATGTTATTAAATTTTTTGCAAAGGTCATCTTGCCTATTTTATGTAGCAGTTTGCAAGCCACACAGGGGTTATTCTATGAGGACTTAGCATTTCTCTACTAGTAACATGGAATTCTGAATAGCTGTAATAGTTTACCTTGAAAACGCGACTTAAGGAAGTTTGAGTCTGAATTCCGGTCATGATAATAAAGGTAAGCAAAACTCAATGCATAATTCAGTCATTCACTCCAATTAATTGCAGGCAGAGTCGGATCTATAAAATACAAGAAATGGTTGAAAATAGTATACCTCTACAACTACTAAGTGGTTTATCTCGGAGCATCAGCCTAATGGCCTCGATACCTACTTAGATAATCCTTAATTTTAAGTTTCGTTTCCTAATGGTGTTTTTTAATTTAGGAATAGGTATAAAAATAAAATAAATAATAGCGTTGGTTTGACCCATGGGAATGTACCAAGACACTTGTCCAATACTGCAAATCACGAACATTATGGCAGAGGATACAAGACTAGGTACGTTCCCCAGGGTATCCCTAACGCTCCGACCAAGTTGCGAAAACGAGGTCAAGCCGATACTATAAAGCTAAGGGATACTGCGACCAACCATTAGACCACACCATTTTTAATCTATATGTACGAAAATAAACAATACTCAAACACTATTTATATTTCCATGGGCGAGACCACCCACTATGTTGGAGAAGAGCAGTATCATATACTAAAATAGTAAGTAAAGTTAGATACTATGATGATTTATATAGCTTCGGGCACTTCGGTAGGGACTCAAGTGCACTTTTCTTCACGATGTCAATACATTATTTGACTCAACAATAGACCATCCTACCATTTTTTTCTTTTTGAGTATATTTACCTAAGAACTGTGTCCAGACATATAGAACTATGACGAATCGACACCATTGTTTAAAAGTGAACGTGGAACTTGACGCATCTATTCTTTCCTATGCTCTCGTCTCTCGTCTACGTTTAACCCATGAATTTCACAATTGTAGTCATATTTATAAAATGTGATTTTTCGGTTTAATTTTAATTTGTATACCGTTAGGCTTCTCTTTTATAATTGAACCAAAGGATTATTATGATCTCAATCTTACAGCCAGCACTCTACAACCAGAATGGTAAGCATACTTTTCAATTAAAATTCTCCATCGACGACTCCAAAATTCTTTAAAGAGGGGAGCTCTGGATATTCAAGATTTCCTGGCTAATTTATCTACAGTTTTCACTTTCGCCATGTGCCCGAAATTATCAAGCCTTTAGCTCATCAGTAGCGCCAGTCTCCAAAGGAAAAATTGGAACCTGGCCATTGTGGCACATTCCAAGTGCATCATTTCCATTGCGAAGATCGCTGATTCCGCTAAAATTTTGGCAGCAACTGTCCTTCGCAGACTTTTCTGAAATATACATAGCCATCTAATCCCTCTTTCTCCTTCAATGCTACCAAGTCCACATTAGAAGTCTTTTTACACTATAAATATCGTTCTCACCAAAGATATTATCTTTTACATTGCTTGTTTACTTAAATGTTCTGATTACAAACAATCTGGTACCTCTTAGCTAATCATAATGGCCATTTAGTCTTTAAATTTGTTTTGATTTGTCTTTTCATATTCTTAGTCGGTTGGTATTGAAATCGAATATCTTCTTGTTTAAGTGCAGCCGTTTGGCCTTTATACGACGCAGTCCACGAGACCTCCTCCCTCTTTTCAGGTAAAAAGAGGCTGAGCTTTCATCCATCATATGATGGAAATCGTCAGAGCTGGGACTCATTATTGTGAAATTCTCAAGTTAACACTAAGACAAGAATAATATCCGGCTCTATACTACCTCTTTTACTTTAAGCAAAATGAAATTTAAAAGCATAGATCGATAAAGAATAGTTTTTATAATTATCTTTATTCTGGTCACCTTCTTTTGGATGGCGGCTCAACACCTCTCTACTTTCAATCTATCAATCAATCACAAGTATTTCCTACTTAACTTTCTTCCACCGTTCTTCACATTCAACGTATTTCCTAACCACTTAATTTTAATGACCTCACTAGTCCTTCGTTTAACTGCAGACGTACCATAATCAGCAAACCTATTATTTTGAGATCATTTTATCTCATGTCCAGTTCCTACCATGTGTTCGGCTACTTCTGACCGCTGAATCCAGCTTCCTCTATAAGCGTTTTTGCTCCCCTAGTCTTTGTAGAATAGGTCAGCATGTTTCACCAACATAGCATCGACCACATAAGCTAACTATCTTGTAGCAGCCGGATCTCGATAATGGCACGTATTTCTCTTTAAAAGATAGTATAGCAGAAGAAAGTGCAAGGGTTTCTTCAAACACTGTTTTTAGCCCCACTTCTTTACTGATTCGCCTATATTTTTTAAAGGAAGGCAAGACGGAAAAATTATGACATGCTAAAAGGTCCCCTCCTGCCTATCTTTGACTAACTTGTAAATAGATATTATTCTCAATAAGGCCCAAAGGATAATTAATTTTCCAGGAATAAATTTTGCAACCGTACCAACTCTTTAATCAAACGTTTGCAATTCACTAGCCTCATCCTCCTAATAATCATTGACTTCAAAATTCTAACCTAAGTCTTGCAACTATGGTTCGAAAGAAAATTAAGCAATGAGACAACATATATTGGCTTTCTATAAACATCTCTTCCTAACTTACCCTCTTCTCTAATGATGAGAACATCCAGAAAAGATTATTACATATTTTCTTCCATTTCCATTGACCTAATGTTTCTTTTACGCTGGTTGAAGGAAAGTCGAAAACTATCTAAACTTTCCTTACCATAAGGCCATATGACAAAATAGTCATCCAAATATCTAACAATTTGGGGGTTAGTATTGCCTCATGCAGGAAATTTTCCTCTAGTCTTACAAAATCTCATCGCTTCTCCTTGTGTTTGTTCGTATAACTTGCCATTAAAAGGCAAAATATGTGCTATTTATGCATCGGTTAAGAAGTCTTATAATGGAAGCTACATTCAACCTTAGTCTTTGTGTTATCTCTGGATGCTCCTCCAGAGTTTGTATTAGAGCTTGAATAGCTCATTGAACGGGAATCTTTGTGTAACTAGACACAACATCAGAACTTACCCGTCTATCCTCTACTGAAAGTGTCTGCTGATCAATCAATTTCAAAAAATCATAAGAATTTTTCAACTGAATATAGCCCAAAATTAGCGGTTACCGTTAGATTTATGCATCTTCCTTCTTATACTATTTACAAGTAATTTTAGAAGGACACCCTTATTGTGAAAGTTAAAGAGACCGTAAGCCGTGGGCCTTTGCATCTCTCTGGAGTAGTGAATTCGTTTTCAACTTCTCCATTTCACCATTACTTTATGGGTATCCTTTAGCCTAGTCTTAAGTCTTTATGTTGGATCTCTCAATAAAGGCATATATGTGTCAGTGTCATTTAAATGAACTAACCTCTTATCTTCATAACTTGACCTAGCCATGACTACCACTGATCCACCTTTGTAGGCTTTCATAACGATAAGATTATTACCAAATAGATATCTAGAAACCCTACTAAGAGGATAAACCTTCTTTGGCGGACTGAATCAATCTCAACGTCATATAAAAGCCAAAAGGCTGCAGTACAGTCGGATTCAACCGTCCTATTCTGATGAGATCGACTTTCGAATCTCTTCTTCAAAATCTTTTATATGAAATTAAATTCCCATCAATAAATGACTTTTTACCGCAGTCGACTCATCCGTCAGAGAAGAAGCTGATTGAATGAGTTTTTAGCTTAAGTAAAAATGAGAATTACAATTGAACTGAAAACCCCAATTAAAATGCTAAAATTAAAATGCTAACATATTCGGATTTGAAAAATTGGATAACCGTACTGGTAAAAATTATCTTCACTGTTGAAATATAGGCTGAGTTTTATCCATAATAAGCAAATTTTCAATCGATATAAATAATCCCGGTATAAAAAGAGATAGGCCTTACTTCATAAACGTTCCGAAACTTCTCCAACGAAGCATCAAATGTTTGTCTATATATGTATCCGTATATATAATTATTCTATAAAATTTAGTTTAAACAGATGCCGGCATCAGCTTTACAAATAAAAATCTAAGATCGAGATGGTAAAGGACCAGTTTGAATAAAATTATCACCGAAAAACAGAAAAAGCATGGTTATGGTGGAGCAAGGTCAAGAAAATTTGACAACTAAAACAATTTCTTAAATTTCTGTCTTATATTTATGCTGGAACTTGATTTAAAATAAGCATTTATTAGTATCATATTGTTCAAGCGCTCGATTCATGCAAAATGTAAATTTGAATAAATTCGCAGGAGTTTCTAGGGCAGATTGCCTTAGGTTTGTGCATGAAAACTTAGGACTAGAATTTTTTCGACCCACCATAATATAATTATCATTAATCCCTATTAAAAATCAAAAGCTAGAGTCTGAATACAAGGGGCAGAGAATTTCAAGACGATCATTCATCGGTTCGACAAAAACGATTCTCTCCTCACTCGCTCTTAGTACAAAATAGAAAATTCCGCGGCAAAAGTTCTTGGTGAAAAATTGTTGATAGCTAGAAGGATAGTTAAATGGCAAGAAATATTTTACACGATATGTGATATGCTTCTCGCAAAATGTAAAGC